CTGGCATTGGTGCTGTATAATCATTCAGTTTGGGAAAATAATGGTTTTGTATTAATAGCAAATTGACATGACGTTCTAATTTACTTTTAGCGAGTCTCACGGGTACTACCACATAAGATGAACCTTTGGTGGAAAGATTCAATTCCAACGCATAAACGTTTACAGATATATTATTCAATTTCTCAAATTTATTTATACGATTCAGTTTCATTGGTATTTCTAAACCTTCAGTATTCAATACTAGACTGTAATGCGGATAGGAAGTTGTATAGCGATTATCTCCTGTGGGTGGATATAAAGCACTAACTATACTCCAGAAGAAGCATGCTTCATCATCATTCTGAATGTTGATACATGCTTTCTTTCTTGAAATTTCTAATGGTATTTTGATAAAAGATGTTCCATTACCAATTTCATATTTGTTTATTGCAACTTCCAACAATAGAATTTTTTGTAATGCCCAACCGCTCTTTTCTTCAGAAAACTCAGACAATTTATTTAAAATGTGATCAACAACATGTTCTTGATACCACACAATGAGATCCGTCCCTTGATCTAAAACTGCATTCGGTGAAATGAAATATTTTTGACTAATTATTTCCTCATCATTTGATTTTTTCACAAAATCACCCCAAAAACAGGTATTTACTTTCAAAGCTGGCATTTCCTTTAGAATTTTGTTGATAATTTTTTTAAACAAATGAAATCCATCAGCAAAAAATGCTTTTATTTCTTTATGCTTTACATTGATGATGACTCCTGTCTTTACTCTGTTATTGAAGCAAGAATTGACATCCTCCCAATAAACCTTACGCTCCTTCCTCGACCTCTCATTTTTATTTTTCAACTTAATTAAACACTTTAATCGTTTCAATTGTCCAATTTTTGAAATTATTCTACTTTTCTGTCCAACTTTGAGTTTTAATTTATCCAAAGCTTCATTACACTTTTTTATATGTTGATTGATTGCTTTGATTGAACTCCTTTCAGCGGAATTGCCTTTGATCAATTTAAGCGTTTCATCAATTTTTGACATTGTTCCTCTGAATTCATCCATAATGTATCACTAATTATTTATAAAAAAAGTAACTCACCTCTAAAATTTATTTCAATTCGATTATTTCGAAATATGTGGCAGGATGAGGTTTCCCAACGTTCTTGGTCCCCCTGAATACTACAGCATACTTCCCCGCTGTGAAGTATCGAATATTTGGCTTGTACTCCTGGGTAACTCGTTGGGGCAGGAACACTATGTTTTTCTCTAGTTCAAGTATGACCGTCTCCCCATATTTAGTATTCACTAATTTAGCCGAATATATCGTATTTGGTTCACCCACAACCAAATCTGTCAGCTTTGTAACTGCCTTATCTGTTTCTAGAAGAGAGATGGAATTCATTGCATTAAGATCCATCTATAAAAAAAAACACATACATAATAGAATTTATTTGTTTTACTTCGGAGGTTCTTTGTTAGAGGTTTTTGGTCGTGGAATTGTTGATATCAGAGGAATTATTTTCTTTTGATATATAATTTACTTGTCCTGTGCAATAGTATATGTGGAATAGTGGAACAAGGAGAATGATAGGAGAAATGATATTATTAATAAAGAATAACTCACCTTTGATTGTTACTGCTGACACTATACACTCAGATAGATACTCTGATAGTAGTTCTCGATTTGTGAACGTTATTTCTCTCTATATATACTGTTCATATTACCTTCCATATTCTCGTGATTGTTCAGACATTCACTAATCGTACAAACCACATTCTCTTTTGTCATTGACTTTCTAATCTGATTCAACTTTGAATAGATATTGCTCATTTGGAAACGATTCGTAGGATTCTTCATTCAAAATAAATATCTGTTGTTCCAATGTATATTTTGGAAAAGTTTTTGAATAAACTTATTCATTATTATAATTTTTATTATTCAAATCTTCAAAAGAAATATATAACAGACTATGTATATTATTTGAGAAAAATTGATAATCATGCAAGCTGAATTACTCTCAGAAATATCTCATATATTACCCATCATAAGCCAAATATAGGTAATGATTTTGAATTCTGATAATAGCCCATGAGAGGAACCAAACATATTTTATGGTTAGGGTCTTCAAATAATAGTGAAGATGAATATTTTAGCAACACAAAAAACGGCCGTATAGACTAGCAAAACATATTAAATATTGAAAACAGTATCAGTAGCGACACCTCGCGGAATTAGGTTGAAGCGTAACACATACGAGTGGATTCTTCAAAAAGACCTCTGTAATAGGAGAAGGTAAACATAGCAAACAGTTTCCACTCACATCCGAGTGAGGGCACTAGCAGTACCGTAAAATCAAATCTATGTAGAACATAGAAATATTTACTGAAACTCATTCATAAGCCCAATATATCTATTTAAATTGCTCATATTGGCCCAATGAAGCAAAATGAACCCCCCCAAATATCCATATACCCATCCATATGTCGAATATCCATACTCATGGTCCTCCAAAAAATATCTCTCGAAAACAGGGGGACAAGTTGAGTCGTACCCACACTTGCACGTTGATAAATTGGACCCCCCATAGCCACTTGGTAACGTGTCGGCTTGCCAACCCAGAGATCCAAAGTTCAAATCCTATACGGTATGATTATCTTTTTTTAATTAAATAAAATTATTAAGTGAACTGAACGTTATACGTCATAATGAATGTAATAGGTTTCCATTAGGTGGGCCAACTGCCAAAATTCCGTAGAAACCCTCTTGTTTAACTACTTATACGCCAACAATCCTATACGCCACACACGGATGAATGAATGGAATCGCGAATGGTGGGGATAATAACAGACACTTGTACGTCTGCGGGTGAGTGCTCAGAATAAATAACGATAGATAGACACCGCGATTTATTTACAAATCATTGAGAAGTATACGCCAACAATCCTGAAACACGGATTAATGAATTGAATGGCGAATGGTGGGGATTACTCTGGGAAATCATTGCCAGAAGAAAGCCACTATTAGGGCAACCCTCAGAGTAAATAGCAATGGGTAGACACCGCGAATCATTCATGCATCATTGAAAAGTATACGCCCGCAATCCTAAACGTCAAACATTGATAAATGAATTGAATCGCGAATGGTGGGGATAACTGTTCGGTATCAACTACGACATACACATGCTGTCGATGAGCGACTATCTGGTGTGCACCTTCTCCTCCCAGGTGAGTGTCAACTGTCAATAACAATATATAGACAGCGATTCACTCATCAATCATTGAAAAGTATATGAAGACCACACGGGAAAAAGGGGGAATGTCACAATATAGTGGAATCCCTGTAATGTTCGGGGAACATTGTGGGTACCTAGGGAGGATAGGGAGAGGAGGTAGGGATTGGAATTTTTTTCAACTTTTGGAGATTATAAGTTCTTGGGAATACTCTGTTTGGCAAAAAATTCCAAAGCTTTGCCGGTCTATGTATACACGAGTTTTGGTAAAGAGTTGTTCGACATATTTCGAGGTTGACGACAAAAAGGTATGTTGACTGGGCTTGTCGAGTAGGTACGTCTGAGTGATGAGAATAAAATAATGAGATTACTGCATGATGATTCCTACTCATATCGCGTAGAATTTATAGAAAATGATCAAATTATAGAGATGCTAGCTGTATTATATGACAATTCACCGCTCATTAGGTAGACAGGCAAGAATGGAGAAATGTACCAGAGCAGATAATTGCTAGTAAACAATCCAGTTTTTTGACAATTCATCTGCACATACCCATTTTTCCCTTGAATCTCTGGCCTTATTTTTTGTTTTTGATGATTTTTCCATTCAAATATGATTTTCATTGCTAGTAATTGTTCATTATACTCCATCAAATCAATCCAGCTGGTTTGATTTCAGTCTCCTTCAACTTCCAAAAAGTAAGGAAGTTTTAAACTTTGAAATGCGTTTTTCTCACCCTTTTTCCCCTGTGGTCTTCATACGCCAACAATCCTAAACGCCACACACGGATGAATGACTGAAATCACGAATGGTGGGGATAATAACAGACATTTGTACATTTGCGTGTGAGTGCTCAGACTAAATAACAATAAATAGACACAGCGATTCATTCATCAATCATTAAAAAGTATATATTTACGCCAACAATCCTGAAGGATGGATGAATGAATGAAATCGCGAATGTTTGGGATAATAACAGACACTTCTACATCGAAAAGATAACCCTATAAAAAATTGAAGTAGATTCAATTTTATATATATAATAGTTCTTGCTCATGAATGTAGGACTAATGGGTGAAGAGTTAGAGCAAGTTGAAAATATACCAAATTTGCGTAATTTGCAAAAAATAGTGTTCTTCGTCGGTTCTCAGAAATAATTGATAATCTACGCATTAAGAAGAAACAAACTCCGCTACGCGTCGGTAGACAACACAACCTGGAGCTAAAATCTAATATTTCTCCCGTGTATAATACACCATTTTTTTTCTGTGACAGAAGAAAGAACGAATCAATATTGAGAAGATGTTACATTATTTTGAATTATGAAAATTATCGACGTGAAATTTTAAGTTTTTAACAGTAGGGACACCTGCGTTGCAGGCATCTTTATCATTCTTTTGAAGTAATCAAATATCTGATGTCACTTCTGTCAGTCTAATTCTGTGATTTGATTTCAAAAAATTGCGAATTTAGTGGTTGTATAGTAATATACGTAACCGCGAAGTCGAATGGAAGATTAAAGGACTTGCAGTTCTTTCTCGGAGACGGTGTTATTGGCTTATTTTTCGGAAATATAGCACAACAAAAGCCATCAACAGTGTATATATATGTGATATATATCCGGGAAAATAGTACTCACTTTTTTCTCACGGGAAAAAAGTAATTTATGAAAAGTGACATTTTATAACCTGCCAACAGAGATGAAATGCCAAACTTTTTTCCAGTCACAGAAAAAATACTCTAAAATTTCGCTAGCTTATGCAAATTGATCCAGGTGTGTCGAGTGGCCTACGAGATAATGCAAAACTACTACCCGGACGCGTCCTCCCGCTTCCGCTCCCTGGACGACATCTACTACTACGGCGGCCAGAACCCGCACAACGTCGTTGCGGTGTTGCCGCACGAGCCGAAAAGGCCCGGCGAGATGTCGCTGTCCGTCGGCGACACTGTCGGCGTGGCCGGCAACCACTGGAACGGCTTCAGCAAAGGTAAGAACCTGCGGACGAACCAGAACGGGTTCTATCCGGGGTTCAAGGTCAAGGACAAGGTCGAGACGGCGAAGTTTCCCACTTACTCGGAGGTGCGCAACACGTAGGTAGAGGATGGTGAACTGTGTCCGTGCAGGCTGTCCCATTTTCGATGTGCTATACAGTGTTCTAATCTTTGATAGGGTAGAAGTCCATAGTTTCCCAAAGTGGAGTGAAGTAAACTTGGCGTCAATTGAAACGTTAATAGTGAAATTTGGCATCGAGTTTGACTTCTCGTAATTTCTAAAATATTGAACGAATTTTGAATTGCCGCCCAGATTCTGAATGCCTTTTTCATCGTCTTTCGAAACATTCCTCACAGCTTCTTCTAAATTGATCAGGACCCATGATACAAGATGAAACAAAGTTTCGTGCATTCTCCGCCCTCCCATTTTGTCCGAAGACCACGATGCTCATATTTTATTCGGGCATTTCATAAATAACAACCATACCTTGGGACATTTTCGCGGGCCGGAGGATTTTTTTTCAAAATGGACGAACTTTGTTTCACCCTGATCAATTTAGAAGAAGCTTTAAGGAATGGTTCGAAAGACGATGAAAAATTCATTCAGAATCTGGGCGTCAATTCAAAATTCGTTCAATATTTTAGAAATTACGAGAAGTCAAACTTGATGCCAAATTCCACTATTGAAGTTTCAATTGACGCCCAGTTTAGTAACAACTAAATAATACTCGAAGTCGTCTCTACGACATTTGAATGTGATCCTCAGATCAGATTACTTGGTACATGTTTCGGACAAATACAGTGTGTCTCACGTCTAATGGAAACACACCTGTATCTTACGTGCATAAGTACAGAAAATATTTCGATTTGATGTAATAATTCTTACTTTTTTCAAACCCACGTAAGCATTATTTAGTAAAATCAAATATTTTCTATACTTATTCACTTCCATTCTAGGACATAGATGTATTAATTTGATTAGGCTGAGGATGGACATATAGATGTCCGAAACATATACCTAGGAATCTTACATATTCAAATGTCGTGGAGATGACTTCGAGTATTATTTAGTAGTTATACAGTGTTCTATTTGAAAAAGTACAACTTTGGGTGCTATCTGTATAATACCGGCTCATTTTGAAATACTGACTTTGCCACTGGATTCTACGTAAAAAGAAGTATAAAAGTTTTAGTTTCCCTATAAGTTGAATCTCAAAATGAAGCCTGCTATGAAGATTTTCTTTGCACTATCGTGAGTTTCACAAAAAAGTTGCCAAGGTTAGCGGAAACTGCAATTCTCTACTTTTGAATATAAGTGAGATATTCCGTGATGACATCGAAAATGGAACAACCTGTAAAGCACAGATCCTGCGATCAGAGAATTTAAATTGTTATCACCAACCACTTGACAAACAGATAGTTTGTGCAAAGGAGGTCAATCCGTTTACTGCAACAAAAATAATATGACTCATAATGGCAATTTTTTATTCTAGTCCCTATGTTCGATATGCACTGCGTCAGAATTTGTAATTTCAAACTCGAGTATTTAGTGAGATATTGATTCCAAAATTTGGTTCAGTGCTTCAACATAATGAGTCACATTTTCGAGCCAATTGAAACAAGAAACAATTGACAAATTATCGAAACAGGAAAGTGTTGCATTCACTTACAACCCCTTAAAGTTTTTTTCCCAGATGTCCAATCTAAACGGCAAAGCTTCGGAATTCTTCGCCAATGAAAGTATTCCCACAAACTTGTCACCTCCAAAAGTTCAAAAAAACCCAACATCTACCTCCTCTCCCTATCCTCATTTATTAGGAATAATCAATAGGAATTTTCTTTCGTGCGCTACAAGAGATTTGAAAAATCTCTTACAGTACTCCTGCTGATCCCCCCAAAGGGTGTTTGAGCTCCTTTCCTAACAAGTTTCTCGGCTATTTTATATGCCTCTACTTAGAAATGTCCCGGAACCCATAGATCAATATTTTGTTACCATCAAATAATATTTTTTTAATTATCCCTAAAACGAGTCGTTTTATCAAAACATGACAAAGAATGATTGAAAAATATGGTAGGTGGAGTCACTGACTAGTAAACTTTTTTTTTGATAATTTGGAATATGTTTCCCGTTTTGTTTTACCTTAAAGATGACTTGTTAGGTTGAAGCGCTTTATTGAATCTGCAATCAATATACCATTAATATTCCCTGTATGTCAATGAAATTGGCATTATGAAAGTCATTATTTATACAGATACAGTTAAACATCCTTGCACATACCATTGTCGCTCCAAATGAGAAGTTAGTGGGCGAGAGGTATATAAAATATTGTTTAACGAGCACGGAATGATAGTCATTCCCCAGGAGAATGAAAATCATACGAGTGGGAAATTATCATTTTGTGCGAGCTATACGCTATACTTTTTCTTTTATTTCTTCGGCTTGTAGCCATTTGATGTTCTCTAAAGCAATGCTCATCATTTAGAAAGAGCTGTCATTGCTTGAAATTCGACATTTCATGGGAGATGAGTATTTTTTAAATGATAACACTATTAATTTATTGTGATATCAGATACGGAAATCTAATTGATGACATACAAAGTAACTTGACAAATTTGATCAACAATTGTTTTTCATTAGGTATTTTTCCATATGATTTGAAACAAGCTCTCGAAATTTCAATTCATTATTATAAACTAATTAATGACTATATAAGACCAATCTCTTACTTTAAGACCAATCTCTTACCTGATGTGGTTGCAAGTCATTTCATGATGCCTCAAATTCACTTTATTGTTGAGAAAGGAGTATCCCTTACCTCTACCTCATGTGAAAGTACAAAATGGCATAACAAAATCAAACAAACCAACAACCGATCTTGCCAAGCTAACGAACTCGAAATTAGACAATCAAATCAAAATTGTAATCTCTCTGAGGTAAAATTGTCTATTTTGACAAATATTCTATTGAAACACATGAGCTCTTGATGTATAGGTCGCGTGCACATTTGATAGATGACCGATCCTGAAGGTAAAATAATCTCACTTTTCTTTTTTGTCTACAAAGTATTGAAATAGTTTTTTACAATCATTTTGGCATACAATCATGTTTTTTGGGCTGTTTATTTATGTAAGTATGCCATCACATTGTGCTGTTGTACAACAAAAAATGCAGCGATAGGCGAAGAAATAAGATTTTTCAGGTAGGTGAATTGAGATCCAAAAGTACTGTCACAAACTGTAGGCGGGGGTTGCCTAAGTTGTGCTCTAGATCCATTAGAGAATAAACTTCAAAAGTGATAATGATAAATGATACTCAGAAGGTTTTCAAACAAAACATACACACACATTTATTCTTGGCAAAGAATAACAATGAAATCAAAACGTAACTTACCCTATATGTACAAATTAACTGATATTTCTGGGAGCCTGAGGAAGGGCATCTTCTGTTCTGCCCGAACTCCGAAGGTTCGGGCACAGTGGCAACTTTACAAACTCACAATGGATATAATTCAGACTTTCCTAACTCGTGTTCATAAAAAGACCGAGCTAGAACTCGAACTGTCAGTCCAACTCGCCGTCGCACTGGTAGTCGAACTGGCATTCCAACTCGCAATCGAACTGTCTAACCCGCTTCCTTACGTCTTTTAAATAGTTGTCTATATTTTAGGAAACGTGACAGTAAGGAAATTAGGTCGATAGTCCAGGTTCGTTGAAGTCAATGTCACGCCTGTGTTGATGTTCAACTACTATGAAAATAAAAATCCGTTCACGATTCGAAAATTTTGAAATTAATAAACTAAGACGTTATCGTTCAATGACTTCGAACCCTTTGTTAATTTAAATGAATTTCAAGAAAATAACCCTATTCGTGACAGTACTGTAGTCTCTTTAGTATTCCTACTGAAATAGGAGCTAATAAAAAGGCATGTGAATTTTCTAAAAGAAGGCAAGAAGCTTGGAGTCATGCAAAAAACCGGAAAATGAAAATTTACCTGAAAAATCTTATTCCTTCATCTCTCATGCTTGAATTAATAAATAGCCAAAAACAAATAAGAAAAGTGTGGTTGTTTCACCTCCAGGGTTGGTCATCTGGCACATGTGCACGTGATTCAGTAAACTAGCGTCATAGAGAGGCCTAGAAAATTTTGGTTGATGATCAGACGATATTATACCTCTCGCCTACTAATAGCTTCTTCATTTAGATCGAAAGTGCACATACTAACAGGAATTGGAATGGAACTGTGTCCGATAGTCGGATTCGAACCTCTACGATCATGAACATATTATGACCTTATGATTTTTATTTGTCACATAAGATACAGATTTTTCAACCATATCAACTCCAATAATCTACACAATAGCACAAAGTATCATGAACTTAAAAATAAATTGTGTATGTCAGATTTGTGGTCACCATGGGTAACCGTCAGAAATGGATTCACACTTCTCTAAATCGGAAATTGTGATGGTTTTAGTTTGAGATTGAATTTAGACACAATGAAATTATATTTATATTATGTAACTATTTTATTCTCGAATATATTCAATCAGCTGAGTATCAAATATTATAATTTATGATTTTAAGGGTCGATATAATGTAGTCAATATAAAAAGACATCCATAATAAAAAACACTCGAAATTAATTTGATAACTATATACACCGTGCTCTCGTGAAGTACCCGGTGGAAAAACTGAACTAAATTGATAAAAATCGCGGCAAAAATGCAAGAAATAACTTCTGGGGTGAATCCAATCATCGCATACCCCAATTTTCATTGTCATTTCACACTCTCTACAAATTCTGAGTAGGTATTACCTGAAAGTTGATGTTCGATGGTATTACTGAAATATAGGTCTACGAAACACTACTTCGTAATCCTACAATACCAAAATTAATGGCATGGATAATTAATTATTCAAAACTCATTAAAATTGAACGTTGGTTACCTAGTTTTTTGTATTATTCATTTATCAACTTAGTATTTTGAAATTTGTAAAAAAACTGTATTTGGTTTTTTCTTTATCTTCAGGGGGTTTCGATATAAGACTGTCACAAATTTGACAATTTATTCAATGTATGACTTATGTCCATAGTAGTCCAAACACGAAATAGTCTCAAGAAATAACATAAAGCTTACTCACAGACATCCAATAGCACTCGATAGTTTTTTCCCTTGATGGCGCGCTAAACATTCTTTGTATTAATCTCTAAATTCCCATCCCACGAACAATATAGTGGGAACATCCATGATTTCTGTGTAGTTTCACTTAAATAGATAATTGCCAAACTCTCGCAAATATGGCAATTACCATGCCACACAATACTAGAACCTTTATAGCCCAAAACTATGAT